CACACCAATCAAGTTTTTAATTTTTGGAGATAGTTTCTAAATTTGTACTGGTTACACAACGAAATTTCAACACTGTACACATGTAAATTCGATAAGTCGGTCATGCTGGGGCAAGCTCATTTGACCGACTTATCAAATTTTATATATATCAAAATTGACTACATAAAAATATCCAATCAGATTTTATTTAAATAATAATAAATTAAAATGTTTAAAACAACATATAAAAAATTATTCATTATAAAAAAAACTTTCTAAGGTAGGTTGTTTTAGAGATGCATTTTGTTTTCTTTTAATTTGATGTTGTAAGTCTCTCATTCCTAATATTACTGAGCTATTTACTTTTATATCAGAATTTTGTTGCAAATAGTCAAATAGATTTTTAATACTATCTAAAGCAATTGGATATGATATTGGTGTACTCATGGTTTCTTCTTCTTCTTCTGGTGCTTCTTGTACTGCAGCAATTATCTCATCTTCATCAATCACTTCGGCAATTTCTATTCTAGAGTCAATATTAATATAATTGCTTGCTGTGATATCATCAACATCCATTTGATTAATAAGTGTTTGGACTGCATTTTCTTCATATTCTAATTCATATTCTAATTCATCTGATCCTTCAAAAATTTCTTCATTTTCTTCAATCATTTCCTCATTAGGTAGAATACCTGTTCTTTGCCAACAATGGTATATTGTATCATCAGTCACATTACACCAGGATTCTGCAGTCCAATTAATTGCATTCAAAATATTTAATTTAGGAATCTCAACACCAAGTTCTTGGTGCTCATCAAATGCTTGAATCCTATCTTGGCATAGTAATTTTCTATAATGAGCCTAGAAAAATAAGGTAAAATTATTAATATTAAAAATAAATTTACAAAAGATTAATATTATAATTACTTTAAATGATCGTATTATGCCTTGATCAATTGGCTGAAGATGAGAAGTTGTGTTTGGCGGAAGAAAATGCAATTTAATATTGCTCAACTCTTCATCTTCTTCCAATTGATGCAATGAAACATTATCTACTAATAATAAAATGTTTCTTTGCCTTTTTTGCATTTCTTGATTAAATTGTCTAATCCATGCTTGGAAAATAGAACATTGCATCCATGATGAATTATTCCAATAGTACCATACAGGAAATGATTTTTTATCAATGTTATGAATACAGCGTGGATTTTTAAATTTATAGATGAATGGTGGAGGTAACTTATGAGTTCAACTTTTGCTGTTTGAGAATTTTTTTCTAAGAATAGTTGAATAGGAACTTCTGTTTGCTGATAACAAAATTTAGCAACCAAGTAAGGAAAGTTAGTTAAGTGGCAAGTAGTAACTAGTCAATTGATATCTTTTACTAGACACCATTTACTATATAATCATTTATTATTTCGACCTTGACTAACATAAAGCAAATTTTTTTTGTCATTTTTGCCAACCAAATAATAAGGGGTGCAGTGACCTGCTAAACCTAAATTACGCCATTGACCAATTGTATAATAAGGGGTGCCTTGGTGTTGACCAATTATTTTTTTCTTGTCAACATCTATTATTTTTCCAACACTTTTAGTTAAGTAATTAGCAAGAAATTTATCAAATTTTCTTTTGCCAATAAAGCAAATGCCCGTTGAGTCTTTTTTTTTGGCGTTGACTAATTGCAAATGAAGAGCTAATTGACGAACTTCTTGCTTAGTTAAGTTAGCCAGCAGAAAAATTATTTTTTTGAAAAGCATTGGATTAACTTGGCAAAGAAAATAAGTCTGGTCTTTTTCTTTATCTTTGGGTTTGCTTAAATAATACTGTTCGTTATTAAAAACTACTTCGGTGTAGTGACCAGTAGCAATAAGGTGGGGTGAAAAATTTTTCTCAACATACTCAATAAAATAATGAAATTTAATTACTTTGTTACATAAAATATCAGGGTTAGGGGTGCGACCTTGCTTTAACTCTTGTAAAAAATCCAAAAAAACATTATTTCACATCTGTCACATTTTATATTTCTTTCTTTCATTAAACACTTAAACACAAATAAGTTGTCCATTTTTTTTGAAAAAGTGTTCATGGTTACAACCAGAGGCAGAACAGGTTGCTTTTAAACCCGAATATGTTTCCATTTATATTACATGCAAGCATCACAGTAATTCTATCTTTTGGTTTTTTTAATCCAGTAAGAGGTCCACTAGCAAGAGATTTATGGGGTTCTAATTTCCAATAAAGACTAGTTTCGTCTGCATTATATACATCTGACAATTCATACTGTGCAATTATAAATTGTAGTTCAGTTCTAAATGCAGGTAATTCACTAATTGGTGCACTTGCTGCTTCTCCTGATTTATAATGTTCTTTAATATTATTTCTTTTTTTAAAATTTGAAATCCACCCCTATTTAAAAAAAAAACAATAATAGATATCAACGGATTTGATAAATTAATACAGTATACAACGGAATGTCTGGACATATAAGAAAATTTCATTCAAAATCCATTGAAACGAAATTACTAATCGTGTTTCATGTGTAACAAAGATTTTTAAAATCCATTGAAATGCAAATTTAATTATAATCCGTTGAAACAAGGGTTATACTGTACCACAGTTTATTAAAACAAAAGAGATTAATACCTGTGATGATTTGAAAT